AGTTCCTACCAATAATGTATGAGACTTCTAGCTGCCCCACATCCTCACTGACACTGGATTTTTTTGTATTTTTCATTGTATTCATTCTGTGGAGTGTGCTGTTATTTCATTATGGTTTTAGTTTGCATTTCTTTGAAGATAGCCTTTTATCCTTTAACATCTATTCAAGTATTTTATCCTTTCTTTCTCATTGACTTGTGTTGTGGTTTTTTTTGTTGTTGTTGTTACTATTGATTTGTAGGAGGTCTTTATGTATCCTAGATATAAGTATTTATTGACATTCACATGGCTATGGGTCTAATTTGTTTTTCATTTTCGTTGTTTTAGCATATATTAGAAATGCAAATTTTGTTGGGACTTGTATTTAAAAATGGACATAGACTTACTCTGTAAGTGTTCAGCAGAAACACATGGGTAAACACTCTGCTGCTTAGTATTTGTATATAGAATAGCACAAAGCTTACTTACAAAGATTATAAGGTAGAAAATGATTAGAAGAAACATAATATTCTTATAAATATATTGTGAAAAGCAGAGTGATTTTTGTATTTTCATATAGTATATTTGGTCTTTCATGAAAAAGAACATAGGAAGAAGTATTTTCCCTGCTTAGATTTATGTCCCATGTATGGCATTTTAAGGTAATTGCACATTCCACAGAGTGAATTTTTACCAAAACTATGTGGTTGCCTTTAATGTAAATTTGAATTACTTAAATTTGGAATTAAACAATACAAAAGAAATGATATATTTTCATTTTTAAGTAATGGGAGTATCATAGTGTTAAAAAGACATCAACACCCATATAACTTCAAAGCTTATGACATAGTGAATTTCAAACTGTTTTTTTCCCTTTGGGTATACCACATTATCTGGCAAACAGAACCTTTGTTGAGTTATACAGATTTGGAATGACACAAAATATCTTGGATAAAATTCTACAGCCTTCTTACTGGACCACACCTCTTCAACCTCCAAAACTTTATAATTTAGTTATTTAAGTGGAATCTTTCTTAATACATTACATGCTTCCCTGCCCTTTTAAACTGAGTAGACTAAAACACAATTAGAATTTTCTTACTAAGACATATCTTCACAAAGTTTTTCTTTTTTCTCTTTTTTTCTTTCTTTCACAATGCTATATGTCACTTCTTTCTGACACATAGGTGGCATGGCATATTAGACAGAACCTGAATTAGACTGAATCCTGGTGCCACTTCTATTACTGTCACATTTTATGAATTTGAGGGTCATTTAAACTCCATGAGCCTCGTTTTCTTAATAATATAAATTGATGGGTTGGGCTATAGTAGTGTCTTTAAGGCTCCCACTGGCTCAGAGATCTACTTATTCAATGGGAATGTAAAATTTCACAAATATCATATTCAGATAAGTGGATCTCTCTCGTGTGTGTGTGTGTGTGTGTGTGTGTGTGTGTCTGTCTGACAGAAGTTTCCATAGATCGCCTCTCTAAATTAAATCCTTCATCATGTAGAATTGATTGTGGGAAACAAAAGGATGTAAAGATCCAATTTCACTTTTGTCTTATAGATAACCAATTGTCCCAGCAACCTTTATCGACCTCTGTATGTTTTGCTAACCTATCTGCAATGCCAGACAATATAAATATAAATTGTTTTCATATATGCTTATTAGTATGCACGCGCACGCACACACACACACATTTATATATATGAACCAGAATCCTCTTGACTACCTATCATCAAAAGAGCAGAATAATAAGCAATGAGAAATGAGTTGAAAGAATTGGCAAATGTTTAGTTTATTGATCATGGTTAACTGTTTTCTAAGGACTGAGACCCAAGTTGTTTATAACATGTGAAATTGCCATGGGATTGCATAATGTCAAAATAAACTTATTACAGTTGGTCAATGTTTATCTTATCAGCATCAGCAGTATATAAAAATGACTTTCAGTAGCCTTGGCAAAATGTAGAATTACTTTCTTTTCATTTTATGTCAATTTCATGGCTATTAAATGGTATCTGAATATAGTTTGATTTTGGCCATTTCCTCAGTACTAATAGGTATGAACATCTCTTCATTTATTCATAAGTAATACATATCTATTTTTCTATGAAATTACATTTCTTTTGTCTATTTTTCTCCATTGGTTGTCTTTATTTTTGTATTTATTTGCTGAGATGCTTGGCATATTCTGGATTATAATCCTTTGTTGATTAATATGAAATGAAAATATTTTCTCCCAAATTGTTATTTAACTTCTTATTCTATGGTGTTATTGATGACCCAATATTCTTAATTTTAATGTAGATGAATGTATCAATATTTATTAGTGCTTTATTCTAATTTTCGAAATCCTTCCATTCTTTCATATCAAAATTTATTGTCTGACAAGTTTTCACAGATTGACTCTCTAAATTAAATCGAGCATCCGTGTAGAATTGATTTTCTTGAACAAAATGATGTAAAGATCCAATTTCACTTTTTTCTTATGAATAACTGATTGTCCCAGTAACCTTTATTGACTAATCTATCTTTTGCACACTTATCTGAAATGCTTGACAGTAAAAATTGTTTTCATATATGCTTAACAATATTTTACATTTGATTATCATTATTCTCATTTTACCTATCCTAATGCATTTTCTTAAGTACTATAATTTTGTAATAAATGTCCATCTTTACACAGGCAACTTCCTTCATCATCTTTCTCTGGCATATCGTGGCTATTTGGGACTCTTTTTTTTTTTCTCATAAATTGTGCAGAAACAGCTTTTTACATTTATATTTTTAATCAATTGAGATTTTTATTAGGATTTTATTGAATCTATAAATCTATTTACATATGTTGGAACATTGATTGTCTCTAGTATACAAAACCCTAAATTCTTTCCAAAGTATCTTATTAAACCAAATAAATTTGTAGATTGTTTTAGTCTTTCAATTTGTGCATTGTATTTGCTTATATGACGTGATTTTCTTTATTTATAATCTTTATAATGTTCATATAGTTTTCTTGTCTTCCTGCATTAGCTACAACGTCAAGTGTAGCACTGAATATAAATGTTGATAGTGGGAATCCTTGTCCTGTTTCTTATCTTAAAGAGAATATTCTAGATTTCATAATAACGTATGACCTATGTTGCTTGTTTTAGATCATTTATCACATTTATCACATTAATTAGGCAAGCAGGAAGATACCTACTATTTATCACCAACGTATCAACTTTACCAGATGTCTGCACAGACATTATCTCATTGTATCTTCACATTCATTCTGAAAGATTGGTATCTCTAACCATTTTCAGAAAGCGAAATTCGAAAAACAAATAATTGTTCTAGTAACAGCTAGTGGCCAACCTGGAATCCAAACTCGTGTTTTGACCCACATTTTTCTCTCAGTATAATAGTAATATCTAGTTGTGCTTGTGCCCAATATTGAACCACTTGCCATGTTGGACTGACCAGGGGAGCAGACACCTGGACTATAACTTTCTGAGACAGGAATTATGTCCATTGTGTTCACTTCATTATCCCTAATGACTGGTACTGGGCTTAACCCTTGGGAGGTGCTCGCCAATATTTTGAGTGTTTGAATGGGAGGGATTCACTATTATAGATTGAGATGTCCTTCCTATGACTCTTACTCAGAATTATTTGGTCTGAGTGATAGTCTTGGCTAATAATTTACTAGTAGTCAATGACTAATATTCCAGGACTCAATTCCTGGTGAATACCTCTAGGTGCTCACCATGATATTTATTGCTATGGTTTGACTACCTGTAGCCACTGACGGCATTTTCTACATCCAGGAAGGCAGGTCATCTGGCTTTGATGCATTGAAAGTGATTTGAGCTCTGATTCCAGGACGTGAGTTATTTGACAATCAAATGAAAGTTTCTGAGATTAAAAACCTATTACAAGGGAGAGTGCAACACCTGCTGATGTATCAACCCTCTCAGGGGCATGATAGTGATAGTATGTTGCCAGTGGGACAGATTAAGTTTGTCCAGTACCTTTTATAATTATATGTTTATAGTTTATCAGAAGCTGATTCCCAATCATGCTGTCTCATTTTTCTTGGCACAGCATCATTATTGCCTAGAAAGTCAAGGGGACTTATGGCTTACATTCTTCCTTTGGTTTAACTCACCTCATCAGTGGGAGAAGCGTGTTCTTTCCAAATAGCCACCTTTCTATATGATCTATCTAGCATCTTGTGAGATCTGCTTTGTTACTTCTAAATCTGGTAAAGACTAAGATACGTAGAAAATGTTGAGACTTCATTTATATGTTATCCCCATGACGATGTGCTAGAATTCTTACCAATGTCATAACAGCCAGCCCTACCATCTGCCTGATGAGACCAGGGAATGGATCAATAATCCAGCTGACTCCATTAGACTTTCTATCACTACTCCCTTCATCCAGAGAGAAAAAAAAATGCACATGCTTTGTAGGAGGTCTGTTTACTCCCAGACCAGATTCTCTCTCTTTTTTTTTTTCTTTCCTTTCTCTTTACCAGATAATTTGTTATGGTCTCTCAATGATAAAACTGTTTGTCTCTTCATTGAAAAAGATCTTTGAATATAAATGTCTCACTGAAAATTAAAATAATACCTCAGTTGGATGGAGAGAATGTTGAAAACATCTTGGAATCCATTGTTGTCAGCAGAGTGGAACCATCCGATATGCATTTATGGTACCTGATTCATGCCCTGGAGACATCTCAGAGCTGCTTTCTCTGATCAGAGCTCTTGCAGTGATACTGAAAAATTAATTGAATTTTCAAGAATGTCAGCTTTAGCTACTGCAGCTGATGGCCCAATAGTTGAAGAGATTTATTAAATATATACTGCCACCTACAGTACTATTTGACTGAGACAGGGTTCATGTCATGGAATCTAATTAAGCAGGGTTAATTTGGGGAGTGATTAGCTATTGTTTCTGTTAAGATCTGCTGATTTGCATAGTGTATTTGTTTACTTATGTATGTATCATCTGTTTTCCTCTAGGAAAAGAAGAATATATTGCCACGTTCAAGGGATCTGAATACTTCTGCTACGACTTGTCTCAAAACCCCATTCAAAGCAGCAGTGATGAAATAACTCTGTCATTTAAAACCCTTCAGAGGAATGGACTGATGCTTCACACTGGGAAATCAGCTGATTATGTCAATCTTGCCCTGAAAAATGGAGCTGTCTCTCTGGTCATTAATTTGGGATCAGGGGCCTTTGAAGCACTAGTGGAGCCTGTGAATGGAAAGTTTAATGATAATGCCTGGCATGATGTGAAAGTCACCAGGAATCTGCGTCAGGTAACAGCGCAGTGGATAAGAGAGTAACTGGTTTTGTTTCTCGCTACAGCTGTGTGTGTGGTACTTGAAAACTCTAACAACATGATATAGGGCTCCTCAGAGTCACTTGCAAATTAACTTTTTCTTCTTCTGAGATGAATCTTCCTGCCATACTTGAGCAGGGGCATATCTAGAAAGTTCTGGGGGCCCAAAGGCTATTTTGATACAGGGCCATATGAAAATTTACAAGAGGGCTGCAAGGATATCCCTGCAACCTGCCCTTCCTGTGACGTGTGTGATTTTGTTGTGTTTCTGGTTTTTTGTTTGTTTAATTTTAAATTATAGTTTTCATGGTGATCATTTGGAAGCATGCACGTTGGGGTCATTAAATCACAGTTCCTTTTTTGTAGTCAAAACAATAGTGTTTGTGATTTGGGATTGTATCAGTCCCTACTCCCTCCTCCTCCCACCCCCAAAATGGGGACCAGAAAAGTCCCTGAGGGGAAAAATGACTTTAGGGGCTTACATATCTCCTGAAGGGTCTGATTTTGAAGATATTTTTATTTTTAGCATAGATACTTTAAGTTAAACCCCAAATGACTCTGGAAAGGCCAGTTAAGCTTCTAGGTGCCCATTTCTATTTGATTGTGTTTTTAAAAAAATTTTCGAGATGCTATATACTAGGAAAATACCAGCTATTTACTAAATCTATGGGTCCACATATACTGTATGTTTTTAATGAAAACATGATTACAGTATATATATATGGATGAAAATGAATAAATTGTCCTTTTATATTGAACATTGTAAGTTTGGGTATTATGTGAAACTTCATATTACAATGTATCATTTTGTTAAGTGTTGACAGTGACTAATTTTTTTGCCTTACATGCTGATCTTAAACTAATATTCTTAACATATTTGTTGTTTCTCTGAACAGTTGCAGAATGACCGGATTGTCTCTGGTTTTCCTTTACCAAAACAGCCCTCTCTTTCAGAGCTGTTAACTGTCTAACCTTTTCTTTCCTGCTTCTGAAAGGTTTAAACTATCTGAGCTAGAGAAACAAAAAGGAGCTTTAGGAATGTAGATTTAGTCTAGCTAAGGCAAACAAGTAAAACTGAAAGATTCTTGAGAACCCCAGACCTTCCAGATCCCTCACTGACATGGGAGGGGGACCTGCATGCTTCCACCTGCCTTTGGAGAGGGTCGGCCACCATCAGTATAGCTGTAGACCACGGGTTTCCTATAAGTCTGTCTCTTTGGTTTTCCTTTTTTTAGTTTTTTCTCTCAGATATGCACAAAGAAACCGGAGGCTCATTTGAGAGAAGCACAGAAGGAAGGGTGGGGGCTTGAGGAGTCCACTTTCTAGATTTGCCTTTGCTCAGGTTACAAACCAAACTGCGAATTGGTAGCTCAAAGGAAACTGTAGTTATACAGCCCGGGTGCATGTGTAGGAGGACAGATTAAACACAAATCCATTCTACTCATTCTATGTGTCAGGATCTTTGCTTTGTTTCATTGCAGTAAACTGTGACCCTAAAGTCCATCAATATGACCGAAGGAAGTTTTGAAGTTGAGGAGGAGTCCTTGTATGCTGTAAAATTGAGTAGTAGGGCAATGCCAACTGATTCCTACTAATTTCCTGGGGCTGGGGTGGGCCAGGGTGGAAGAGGGGCCAAGTATGGGCATAGGGCTGCAGTGGTCAGCTGAAAAGCTTTAGGCCTTTGAATCCCTTTTAGACTTTTCCAATGTCTCTCAGATGTACTCAGGAAGACAAAGGGAACATTGCCATGTGTCTGTTTCTGTCTAGTAGCGAATTATGAACAATAATAGCAGGAAAAATATTACCTCTGTGGGAGGCCTACTTGTTAGTCTGCTTTTTTCTTGTAAAATTTTTTTGCCCTTTTTCTATGTTACTAACATGCTTAATAACTAACATGTCATTCATGGAATGTTTCATTCTACTAACCGTTACCTGAATCAAAAAATGTACTAACATGGTAGAGACCATCATATTTTTTAAGTAACGATCGTTATTCTGTTCACAGTTTTTAATTTCCTTTCTCCCCCCTTCTCCACAAAGCACTCAGGCATTGGACACGCTATGGTAAACAAACTACATTGTTCGGTAGATATCATTCTAATTGTTTCTTATTTTGGGTTTGCCGTGTGTTTTCTTTCTTTCTTTTAACTGTAGACATCATTAACAAAAGAGGAACTGCGGTTGGTACTCTTCTGCTTACTTTGACCTCCTTCTTTTCATCTGTTGTTGACCTTCTTATTTTTTACCTGTTCCTGTCAACTTCTGTTTTCCAACTCACCTGTAGGGGCATCGTTAACGTTTCGAACGTTTTGCATCCAGCTGTGGTTAACACGGGATAAGACAAAATGGTGGCTGGCCCGAGTGACCGCAGGCTCAGCCAGTCTCTAACCATTCATGATGCATGGCATGGAAACTTGATTTGGGAATGCTGGAGATGCCACACCCACTCATCTTTACGTCATCACAAAGCAGTTGTTTTTATTTTTATTTTTTTTCCTTTGGTTCTCCCTGTTTTCTTTCTTTCCTTTTCTGAACTGTACTGTACCTCCTGCATGTGCACATCAGCGTGTGCTGCTTCTACTGGTTGTTTTGCCTTTTCTCTCCCTTTGGCATGGACTTAGGCACTTGCATGCTGAACAATTGCTGCTCAATAGTGCAAATAGTGATGTTGCTGGAACTAGCTTGCGCCTTTTATGTTAACAAGGTGCACGTTGTGATTAGTTAATAACAGACAACTAAACTTTACTAATATGTACACCAGCAAAACTAACCTAGGAAGCATTTTACTAACACCATTTTTGTGTCTGCTCAATAACTTTTGAGTTGCAATAGGGATGATGCTGACACTAGTTCAATAATCAGTTAACTCTCTAACTAGTTTAGATCTCTTAGGGCTAGTTGAATAGAATCTAAGAATAAACCTCAAACAGACATGAAAATGGGTTCCATCATAGGTCTAAAAACAAAAACCAAACAAACAGAAAAAAGAAAAAAGCAAAACAAACAAACAAAAAAAAAACCAAACCAAAACACAAAACAGGCATATCCCAGGATTACAGTATCTAGGTCTGAGTATAGCGTGTCCTTTCCCTGTGCTTTGTTATCTAGGTGACAATATCAGTGGATGGGATTCTTACCACAACGGGCTACACGCAAGAAGATTATACCATGCTGGGGTCTGATGACTTTTTCTATGTTGGAGGCAGTCCCAGCACAGCCGACCTTCCAGGGTCACCAGTCAGTAACAACTTTATGGGCTGTCTCAAAGAGGTAAATATCGTTGTCATCAGAATCATTCCTAATTCATGATCTCATCATTTCAGATCCAGCATGAAAGCACTGAAGAACTGATGTTTCCAGACTCAAATGACACAACTTTAAATTCAGTATTCCACTATTGTTTATGTAGGATTGGGGGAGGGAAAACAGCCCATAGATCATTCTGAAAGAATTAGGTTCCTCTTCTTTACTAGTCTGTAAGTAATTTACCTTTGAGAGTTGTGTGGACAGTTGATATTAGCTATAAAAGAAAGTCAAACAAAAAGAAGTACTGGGTCTAAAGTTAAGGTAATTGGTTTACTTGCTTATTTCTACCTAAATGCCATAGGTGTTATGTATACGGTGAAGACTTTTTTGAGTATTAAAAGGAAAAAGAATAAAAAAAAAATAGGCTATAGGAGAAGGAACGACTATGTAATTCAAAACAAAACTAAAACAAAATAAGTCTGTATAATGAAATAATTTTGTTCCCTTATTTTCAACATGTTCTGGAGGAAGTAAAACTGTTTCATTTGTTATCTGATGAATTTACTTGATATTTATCTGAACAAGAACGTCAAACTAAATGATATCAATAATTTCATCCCTCATTATCAGCTGTAGTTGCCTATTGTAACTTTGTATAAGATTGGGATTTGTTGGGTTTGGGGGAGAGAAAGATCAAGAAGTTCCTGAATTTCATTTTTTAATGAATATTTTCCATAAAAGCTACCTTAAAAAAATTTCATTCAGCCGGGCGCGGTGGCTCAAGCCTGTAATCCCAGCACTTTGGGAGGCCGAGACGGGCGGATCACGAGGTCAGGAGATCCAGACCATCCTGGCTAACCCGGTGAAACCCCATCTCTACTAAAAAATATAAAAAACTAGCCAGGCGAGGTGGCAGGCACCTGTAGTCCCAGCTACTCAGGAGACTGAGGCAGGAGAATGGCATAAACCCGGGAGGCGGAGCTTGCAGTGAGCTGAGATCCGGCCACTGCACTCCAGCCTGGGCTACAGAGCAAGACTCCGTCTCAAAAAAAAAAAAAAAAAAAAAAATTCATTCAGACACAATCCAATTTCTTTGGGTTACTGGAACCAGAGGTTCCTCTTACATTGTATGACTACAATTTAATTGCATAGATTTCTAAAAATCAAAGTTAAATAACTTTGAATTCACTAACTGTTAGCCATAGGTGCTGAAGATAAGCAGTGATGTACTTAGATTTATTCTAAAGTAAATAATTTAATCATATAAACTTGATTCAGTTAAGCATTAGAGAAAAACAATTACTACTGAATTATCCTTCCCTGTCTTCTCTTTATGTGAATATACTGGTCGATTTGTTGCCCAGTATGTGAATGTGTGTAGAATAGTCCTAAGGGAGATTTAAAAGTGCAATAGTTTTAACAAACATGAGGAGGTGCAGTTCTGTAAGGCCAAACCTACCCATGCTTTGTAGTAGGAGTGATAGATTACCTTTCAGAAAGTAACTTTTACTGGTTACGAATATGTAGTATGATCCAGGTTTGTGTTAAGCTGTGTAGAGGATGATAATCTAATTATTATTATTATTATTTATTATTGCTATAGTACTAATATTTCCAGAGCTGTTATTTTGTGCTATTCTAAGAGCTTTATAGGAATCCTCACAATATAGGTAGACATTTTATTATCTGCATGTTTCAGACAAAGAAACTGAGATTTGAAGCAGGTAAGTTTCTTGGGGAAGGTCGCACAACTAATAAGTATTAAAGTCTAAAGGTTAATTGAGGAAGTCTGATTTCAGTGTCCTTTGTGCCCTTAACTACCATAGTTAAGAGCCTTGTTGCAAGAGATATGTTGGTTAGAGTTCCTAAAAGATTGTACAAACTCTCAAATATGTTATAAACTAAAACAATGTTTACAAATGTATAATAGACTGTGAGGATTGAAGTATTAAATTATTTAACACAGTTATTTGATTTAAAAAGCAGGTGAGATGAGTGAGAGTTCTAGAAGACAAGGAGAGAAACACAGAAGAGTCAGAACGTGAGCATCTCAGACAGTGACTGATTGAGGCAGGCAGGGACGGAGAAAGTATATCAGGTGTGGTAAAAGAACGCTTAGATTTTATTAGAAGATTTCTGAAACTCCGTTCTAGTGATGGAAAGTGGAGGGCAGAGCCACATCCTCAATCACCCGTACCAACTTCCTCATTTTCACTGTGAGCCAGACCAAGTATAATCAGTCCCTACATCCTGCTTTATCTAGAGAACAGTAATCCTGCTTGGATTGGAAAAAAGAAGGGGAATCGAGGGATCTCTAGCAGAAATGGGAATCTAACTAAAGAATTCTTTTGGGCATCTTTAAAAAAAAAAAAAAAAAAGATTTCTGCAGTGAATCCCTGAGTTCAGCTGAGACACATAATCTTCTGATAATTCTGCATAAGTGAAGCAGTTTTTGTGTGTGTATAAAGCTGCAGTTAATTGCCTTAATCTAAAGTAACTCTAAAATAACAGTTTGTGATTAAACTGTGCTTCAGATTAACACCTCTAATTTATGAACTGATAAAGATTCCTTACCTTAGTATTCTTTATATATATATATGCCTTTAACCACAAAAAAACACAATACCAAAAAATAAGTCAGGTGGTCTTCCAAGTGCCATGTTAGTTCACAGCTGGTAAATTCATAAAAGGAAGATTTACTCGTGCTGTTGTCACTATGGGGTTTGGATACAATTCACTCTTTTTTATTGATTAGACACCTTTCACCTCTGTTCTGCATCTGGGGTATGTGTTATGTGTTTGAGGAAACATGGTCACTTTTTTCTTGACTTGTGTAATCTTTTTCATTTTATTTCTTCTGATGCACTATAGTTTGGAAGGATATCGGCACAATTAGTCTATAAATCAAAACATACCTAACTTGGAGGGCTTTTTCTTTCTTTCTTTCTTTCTTTTTTTTTTTTAAGAGATGGAGTCTTGCTCTGTTGCCCAGGCTGGAGTGCAGTGGCATGATCTCGGCTCACTGCAATCTCCACCTCCCAGGTTCAAGCAATTCTCCTGCCTTAACTTCCCAAGTAGCTGGGACTAGAGGCATGCACCACCACACGCAGCTAATTTTTGTATTTTTAGTAGTGACGGGTTTCACTGTGTGTTGGCCAGGGTGGTCTTGAACTACTGATCTCAAGTGATCTACCCACCTCGGTCTCCCAAAGTACTGAGTCTGGTGGTTCAAGCCTGTAATCCCAGCACTTTGGAGGGCTGTTTAGTTGTTCATAGTTTCCATCCATGTCTGAACTGTTACCTATTTAGAAGGCCCTGCTCTTGTTACTTCTGAAATGAAATACTGACAAAGTATCATGGATTCTGAGTTAAATCGTCTTATTTCAAATGGTCAGCTTTGTGGAGTTACTGAAAAGAGAGGGATATACCCATGTTCATTCTCATAGAATCTCTCTTAACAGTAAAGTCTATGTAAATTTTCCTGAACTCTAGCTTGGACTTCCTGGCCTATACCACACTGCATGTGTAAACCCTTAATATGACTTCATTTATTGGCTAATAACATTTTTGTTTTCAGTCTAGTATGTAGTTCCTCTTAGCATAACCAGTCTTGAAGGAGATTCTAATATCACCTTGTCTGAAGTTATGGGAGAAATTTTGGAGTGTTAGAATGGAAAAGATCCTGGAAATCATTTTCTAAGTTCAACTTTCTTCTTTTGGGGAAACAGACCTAGAGAAGTTACTTGACTAAGAGTAATAAGGGGGTCCAGGAGGATTAGAATACAACACCCTATCAAGTGAAATATAATATTTAAATGGCTGGTTCTATTTCATTGTAAACAATGGCACTCAAGATATAAAAATACCACTTTCACGAATTTACGTATTTATTCCTTAAAGATTAAAGAAAAAAGAGGAAATCACTCAACATATTGAAACAACCTATAATCTCATATTCATTAGATGCAACTTAGATCTTTCCCTTTTTACCTTTTAATAATGTCTATTTGAAATGAGACTTTGCTTGTATATAGAACAACTAATCCTCAATTGGAAAGTTACTTTTATGTATGTGATTATCAAATTTCAAAATAAAATAAGATTAGTTCAAAATAATTTGGTGAAAACTAACCTGAACTTTATATGGTGCTTTGTTTAAAATGAGAAGGAACTTTGAATGGCCAGGAATTCAAATAGAGATCAAAGTAGTTTTTTTTTTTTTTTTTTTTTTTTTAATGATTCGTATGTTCAGCACAAATAAATCAAAGTCTGGGAAAATATTTGTACTCATTGAAAAATGACTCACAAGTTTAAATTTGAAAAGAAAGTTAAAGAAAAATTGTAAATAATAATTTGCCATTATATACAGCCCATACCTATGAAATTCTTAGAGGATAACAGGTCTTTTAAAAATATGCTTTTTAAATCTGATTTTTGCAAAGGCAACACTATGTTTTGACAGAAATACCTGTTTATATTCTTTGCATTTTCATAACAATGAGTGAAAGCTGAAATATATGTTGCTTAAGAATTTTCGATCATTTTATATTTAATTAAATTTTCTAACAAGCAATTTTTGAGTGCTACAAAAGGAGAGGAGATTAGAAAACCTTGCAGAAAGAGAAATCATGTTGTCTGAGATGCTCAGACTCTATTTGAGGGCATCTTGCCCATTTACCTTAGACCACTTGGAAAGCATTTTCCTGTAGAAAAGTCTCACAGTTAATTCTTCAGGTGTTCACCAGATATATTTTAAGAATCTTTAAAGATAGATGAAAATCTCATTAGTATGTGTTTCTACCCCAATATTTTCTTCCTAAGTGTTTCTATAGTCACTGACCTATCAGGAAGGGTCATGGTGCTCCCTCATTAATCTCCCCCTCAGAACCGTTCCTGCAATTATTATGCATTTCCTGGTCTCTTTGTGCTGCCAAATGCTCTGAAACACTTATTTCCCTCCTGCAGAGTGAACATTATTTAGCATAGTTTGTTAGTAAGGAAATGAAACTGAAGAGGTAGTAAAG